TCTCTCACCAGCGGGACTCCGCCCCACCCGGGCAAGCTTTTAATTTTCCGTCTGGTCTCTGACATGTGTGCCAGTGTAGGGCTTGTAAGAGTAACTGTACGTAAGTAAGGCTGATCATCAGTAGATGCTCTTCGCCACCTCAGTGGAAATTTGCTTCCATTCGTGAAGTCTTAATATTCATTTTCTCAAAAAGATTAAAGGAAATCTACTAATTCCAATATGTACAACAAGCTTTTGCCTTCAACAGCATTTACATTGCGTTTAAGTCACAGACACTTGATGCGGAATGCTGTTTCCTCCAGGTTCAACTTAGGAAGCGCCTCACGCATGGCGTTGCCAGGAACCGGTTCAACAGTCGGGTAAATAATTTGCTCACTGGCACACATTATGCATGTCTTCGTGTGGATGGTGTGCCAAGTACACGTTTCTTTAAATGCCTGGAATAAGGAGACTAAAACACCCAAGTTCCGTTTATGGTAACTAACGTTATTATTCATTGGTGATTTATTGAACAAAAACCAGATTTTAAAATTAACTTCATTCATTCGCAAACGTTTATTGCGTGATGAGACTGAAGATTAATAGTTTAAATTGGTAAATTAAACGCATGATTCAAACCAACACAATCTTCGTCACCTTCAAATTTATTTTATGATTAAGGAATTGCTATTTTATGTTACTTTTAGGGACAGAGTAATGATTCTAAAGAGAAGAAAAATACGTGACGGTAATTAAATCTCACGGTGTTTCTATAAACTAAAGCAGAAGTGTGAATGCTTTCAGCATATCTTTGTATATTTAGTGAAATTAAATATATAATACCAATATATGAATAAACTGGTCTCTAATTTGTTAAATAAGAACAAAAAATACAGAATAACTTGTTCTGATTCTATTAATGCATGTGAATTGCTATCGCACTAAGAAAATGAAAACCCTCAAAATACAGAATTTGACAACAAACTGCGAAATAACGAAGGTTTTAAAACACGCTCCACGGGTAGCTCAGTGGTCAGTGTGCTCGCTTTCCAAGATTCGCTTTCCCGGATTCGTTTCCCGGTGGGAGAAGATTATAGTTCCTTGCAATGTCCCAGTATGGGCTGCTGCGTGACGGTGAGAAAACTCACTTCTCATGTTGAGAAGAGCAGACCACGGCATATAGGATGTCTATGTGCTAACCACATGTACCGCTTAACCCATGGGCGCAAGGCCGGGTAGCTGAAATCTGGTAGGCCTTGGTGCCATCACAAGCTGTTGAGTCAGTAAAGACAGACAGACTTTTAAAATACATGAATGTAAAATATCAATTACGCCACCAAACTCTTCTTCGCAAAATAACGTAATCAAAGCAATTTGTTTCTCTACCGGCAGCAACGTTCATGGACGGAAACTAAATTCCCAGCCGACGTAAAGTTCCTTTCAGTGACAGTTTTGTTTCTAGTCAATATTTTTTTTAGGATACTCTTCAGTGTTTTGTTTCGGTCCGCGGTTTCGTGTATTACCGATGGTAGCATAATAAAATACTCAATATCGCTTGGTTTCGCTTTTGATGCCATCCATCGAGTACGTGCAATATTCCCAAACTGATGTCATCCACTTGTCAAATTTCGAAACTGATGTCATGAAATTAAAGAGTACCAGAGGTGGCAAAACTCTGCCCCTATAGTGCAACTCCAGCTGCACTCAGGGAATAGCTAACAATTTTTATAAAAATATTCACTCTTCTTCATTAATCTTCAGTCTAGATCGCAATCCTACGTATGAAATCCAGATAGTCCTACTCAAACCACCATACTTCCCAGAATCTGTCAATTGAATTAAAACTGAAACGAACTTGAACCTCGCTTGATTTACCTTAGCCCAATATATACACGTCCTTCCCAGTAATAAAAACCACTGCTTATGGAGGCCCGTTCCCAAAAGCTACAATCAGTGTACTTTATAATTAATATTTTTAAGAACAAAGTTTGTGGAACGCGAGGAAATAATTTAAAAAAAAATGATGCGCAGGAGCACCCTGGAGGCCGAGCTGCGCGCGCACAAGGCTCTGACGATCCTGCACTCGCGCGACGTGCAAGTGGAGCAGCTGCAGCAGCGGGTGGCGCAGCTGCAGAGCGCGGCGGACCGCGTCAGCCCCGTCAACCTGGTGGTGCCGCCGCTGCGCCTGCCGCCCAGCCCCGCCTCCGACGAGGGCTTCGCCTGCGGCTGCGACGCCGACGCCGACGGCTTCGCCTGCGGCTGCGACGCCGACGCCGACGGCTCCGACAACGACCTCGACGACCAGGACGACGACGTCTACGTCGAGGTGCGAAACCCTGAAGCGCCGTTCAACGACGCAGCTGACGCGCGTGCAACCACAAGGCTCAAAAAAGCTTCAGAAATCTCACTCTGTTAAATTTAATCCAAACACGCATTAGAACGCATTGTAGAACAAAATTGTTTTTATGGGTGATCTGGGCTGTCCGGGTGACGCCGCGTCGAAGGCTGAGTTGCCGACGTTTTGCCCATCCTGTCGTGGTCTTACTCAGAGCTGGAGGAAGACCACGACAGGATGGTCGAAACGTCGGCAACAGAGCCTTCGACGTGGCGTCACCCGGACAGCCAAGATCCCGGACAACCCACATGACTCTGGCCGCGGAAGCCTACGACTTCAAAATTGTTTTTCAATGTCACCATTCCCGTCACCTTCTTGGACGCAAATATATTCTGCAGTCGTAAAGAAATCCAAATTTTGATCATGTTACTCACTAATAATGCATTTTAATTATTAAATTTGTTCACAGAATTGCTCGCCCCGAAGGCCCCGGTTCGAATCCCGGTCGAGGCAATCAATTCTTTGAACAAATTGAATTATTAAAATTTTTTTCTTCCACGTACGTTTTACAGTATTACAACATTAAAGTGTACAACAAAACTATTTTTCTTCCACGAAAGTTTTAAAGTGTTTCAAATTATTTGCAAGATTTTTCTTGCATATTTGAGTCATTTCTGAAAAGTGTAAAAGAATAATAAAACTCAATGTTTAGAGAAAATTAATATTTTAAAAAGTATTGAAAATTTCGTGGTATTCCAACAAAGCAGTGTATAGATAGTTTGGTGGAAGAGAAATTGTAGTATAATCACACCGAAATAAAAATATACTATCGCACTCCCTCGCTTAACTTGCAATTCTATTAATTATGCTGTGATACGTGTAGCTCAGAACAGTCAAATTTATTTTGAAAATAATTCCCAAAAGTAAATGAATGTGACCCGTTTTTAAATTGCATCATAAGAGACTATGTACCATTGGCGGATCCAAACGGAGGGCATAGGGTCCATGACCTCCCCCCCCCGGAAAGGCCTAGAGTTTTCGTTTCCGTCCTTTATTTGGCAGATCTCTCATCGTTGAGGCAGTAGTGCCGCAGTGATCTCGGACAGAAAGATTGCGGGTTCAAATCCCGCCGCGGGAATGATTGTATTTGTGTTCGTCCTTTCACCCCCACCATCACCTTAACATATCATCTTCATAGCATTACGTGAAATGCAAGAGTGGTCGCCAATGGCCTGGATGTTGATAATATTGATGCGACCTTAAATAACAAGAAAGAAAAAAAGAAGGAAAATCGAAAACCTGAAATATTGCTTCATTTCTTTCAGTACTTATTCTCCAATATTAATGCAATAAGGGAGGTATATAAATTCTGGAAAAATTCAATCGCTAACAGTACAAGTACAGTTAAACATGTTTCTGAAAGTGTAACGACGAAATACCCTGCCTTGTTGACGCGTTTTCTCTCCCGCGTCCTAGGCACTTGACCCTGTTTAAAGAAAAATAATCTAACAGACATTAATGTTAATACATTTTTGTGTTCTTTGTGAGAAAAGTGTTATAACGAAACCTCTACGAATGCACAAAATTTAGTGAAACAACGGGATACGCGCACAGTTCCTTCTAGGTAAGAGGAATGCAACATAAAATCTGAACTGTTTTCATTGCCCTTCTTTCACAGTTTTCTCTCTGCACATTCTCTTTGCTCAATTTTGCCGCGTAGTTCTGCTGCCCTGTTCAAAGCATGAGTGCAGCTGCCCTGATCAGTCCGAGTCCCCCTGGCCAGAAGTCCGCGTGGCTGCGCAGATGCTGTCGGACTCGGGGCCGTCGTCGGACTCCCTGTACAGCGACACGGCGGGCGACAGCAGCGAGGTGCGCGGGGGCGTGTGCAGTGAGCTGGGCGCGGACCCGCTGCCGCCGCCCCTGGACTTCGCGCGCGTCCCCACGCCGCCGCCCACGCGCCCGGCGCGCCAGCCCGCGTCCGCGTCCTCGCCCCCGCCCTCGCCGCTGCCCGCCGACGCGCCGCCGGGCCCGCAGCCGCGGAAACTGCCCTGCCATCTAGCGACGGACGCCGGCATCAGGCCGACCGCGCCCTGGGGCATCGGAGGCGGCGACCGGTGAGTGGCCGCCTCCTTTTTACTCACGCGCTTCCGCCTTCGGGAGGAAATAGGATTGCGAGCCTGCCTTATCGTTAGCATTCTTGTCAAATCTACAAATAATAGGCGACCTTCTCCATCGCCTCGCTACAGCATGTCTACGAAGGGAAAAGCCTGTTTTGAATGAGTTAAGTGACGCATTAAATCACAATAATAACTTTTGAGCATCATTTGACCGTGTATGGCTTTACTTCCCAATAGGAATGATATCATTGTGACAAAATAATGCAAAGGAAAGGTTTGTATATTATATAATTTACACAGTACATCATGAAATTTAATATACTGTATTGATACCAGAAATGGAGAAAATGTTATGCTAAACAACTAGAAGAATTGAATTATTAATATATGCGCCATTTCAGAATTTGGATGTTTCTCTTCCATTTGTAGTCAAAACATAAGAAAGCTTCTGACAGTTCACCCGTGTTTTTGGTTGACGTGACCTTTGATGTGAAAGGAATTGGCCGTGTCATATTTAATAAGTTCGAATCCAAGCTTTTATTAGAAGAAATATACTTATTTCCAGATGGTTCACTACTTTTTTTATAGAAGCGGAATACATTTTGGTTGCTTAATCAAAAATATTTTATCTTCTTCATTAACGTATTGATAAAATATTCATATATTCTATTAACTATATAGCATAGTTAATAGAAAATCAATTTTCACTTCTATTCTTGAATTAGCAGCGCTCTGTGACAGAGATCTTGCTTACATGCTTGGTGGTTAGTCGTTCGCATATCGTTGGCATCAATCGACGATGGTCTGGAATAGACATTATTTATTTGAATATAAACCATGATTTATTAATATAGATCAATCACCCCCTTGAGACCTTGTCACAAAAACACAACTTTCATGAATTTTGAAAATAGTTTGTGATGGTAAAAAGAAAAATTCAAAAGTGAAAAAAGACCAGGGATATGTTTGTTATAGAAGCAAGATATCAGGCGTCAATGATAAACCGGTCCAATGTCGATTCTCTCCTCCAAAGGCTAATGACATTAGTATTATTCCAATTGCTAGGTTTAACGTAGCATACTTGTTATGCCTTGTTAATATAATCATTGGCGATGAAGATGTGATTAAATATAGTCATGAAATTTAATTCATTTTATAATTACGAAAAAAATGAGTACACATCAAAATACATTGTTTACAATTCATTTCAAAGGGCACGTCTAATTCAATTATTAGAGATAATGTTCAATACTTGTTTCTTTTAAATATGACCGAGTATGAATATTACTAAATGTATATGCTATGTTTTTAAAGAAAAATTAAAACGCAATTTAGTGAATTGTTGGTAGATATTTAGTAGTCCAATGTAGTACATTGATGAAACCAGCATGTAAAAGACAATTTTCTTGCATCTTTTATACATTTTTACAAATGAAATTTCAAATGCTTCTTATTAACTCGTCTACATAAATTCTTGGCTATCCGGGAGACGCCGCGTCGTTGGCTGAGAGGCCGACGTTTCCCCTGACATGTCGCAGCCTTCCTCAGGGCAGTGACCAAGCTTACTGTGAACAAGCAACTTGTCTACATGTTTCATTTTGTTAGTATTTACACAATATCATGGGAATAAGTAACATTTTGTATGTCCTCATCTCCACTTCAACAGTTACGGTTTCTTCTTAATGCTCCTTGAGAGAGTAGTGTGAAAAACTATACAATTATTCTCCGCATTTAGATTTTTGATGTTAAATTTTGAGCTACTCGTATTTGACAGTGAATTGAATATTTTTTATCGAGAAGCAAGAACCCATTAACAATTCAGTGTGTTGAGAGATATGCAGGTAACTGCCTCCCCTATAAATAGCAGAAGTATTGTATTTTAGAAATGGTAAAAGACGCAGAAATGCAGAATTGAAAACGCATTGTCTAAGTAATGAAGCAGGGATTTACTATACTAGACAAGGGTCTAGGAAGGGTAATAATCATAGCTCCCAATGAGAGCAGCAGCTACCACATGAATCATGAATTGATGCATATGACGGACGTGTTAATACTATTTTCGGACGACTGTAACAATTCAAGGGGCTTTGATCTTTCTCATAATATATTTTCTAAATGGTGCATGTAGTCGAACTGCTTAACGACATTGGTAAAAATGGGCTGTCGTCGAGACCAATGCTCCATTATCTTCACCGGGCACCTCCCTTCTGCACCCCAACGATGCGCCAGCATGCGAGGCAATTCATATATTGCCTTACCACTCGCTCAAGACTTATTGGAGTACAGAAAGGGTCGAGAACAATATTCCGCTCTCATCAAGGCACTATCCTTCCACATGCATTAACAACTCTCACTGTGAATTTGTGAATGTCACGATCGATTGTGAGTATTTGGATGTTTCTGACCATTGCATCCTTGATACTATTTCGCGTCCCCCGGAAACATGGGCCAGAATGTAGTGATTTAATTGGAATTTAAAAAAAATATTTATGAACATATCCAGTTTGCAAATGTAATCAATTGATAATATAAAGGAGATGTGATTAATGGTAGTTTACTCTTATTTCCACTCCACCCCATAGGATGGGAGCCAGCAATAAAACTCACGTATGATAAGCTCAAATCTAAAACTTTTCACCTTGAGAAGTTAGACAGTGTTGGCCATGAAAAATTGGGAAACCGAAGTATCGCGGCCTGTAGTTTTCGGCGTTGCGCTGCACAAATTTTTGAAAGTGAAATTGGAAATCTTTGAATCGGTATAGCAGCCATTTAGAGACGACAAAGCGGTATGGCGTTATCATAATCAGCAATGAAGAAGAATTTTCTATCATTACACCAACATATTAGCATTGTTTTCGTAATCCAAGAGGGTATAGAAATGACACTGCATTCAATATCGCGGACAGATTGAGACGCCACATCGGTTTGTCATACATTTTCACACATTGGATGTCTAACGAACAATACACAACAAGAATTAACTGTGTACTCATTCCCCTTATTATTTTGAACTCTTTTCTGGAGGCTGACAGTCGAAATGATGGGATCGGATGTTTTCCCAAACAATTTTTGAATTGCTTTTTCCCGTATTAGCAACCAACTTTTATTTGTATCACCTCTGACCTGCCGTATTTTTAGTGCCATTCTAGAAACTATATGCAGAACACATTCTAAAAATACGAATCAAAAGATGTAGGAGGCTTACCCCAAATTGTAAAGTATCAGGCTTAGGCAAAAATTCGGGTGCGTCAAATTCTCTCGCATCCTTTACTTGAAGAGATTTTGCGCTATAAATTGAGCAGGTTTGACTAGAACTATTGCATGTTGACTAGATCTATTGATTTTGACTAGATCTGTTGTCTGTAATTATATTAAAATTTTACCATCAATTAATGTCAAGTATAGAACAAAGGAAACCCTTATAGATTGTCCTTTGCTAAGTACAAGTTCCATTTCGCTAAGTTCATGAATTTCTTTCTCGATGTTTAATTTTTCCAGGAGAACATGCTTGCGTGTTTCCTTTTTATATTACAAATTAATTGGTCTGCAGAACCTGACTGGCTGAGGTGTCTGATTGTTCCATAGAATATCATTGGAGCTTAACAAGCACAAGGGAATAAAGTTTTGTGGCAAATATTGTCGATTCGAAGGACTCAGAAAGTGAAGTAGAAATTTGCTTGAAGAGACTTCGTCCGGAGCTCTCATCAAGGCCCTAACTCAAATTAGCTTTGCATTACAGACTGTTGTTTCAGTTAACATTGTTTGATGAATAATACCATTTTCTTGGAGAAGAACTATTCTCCTTGCAGTATGATATAACAGGGACTGTAAGGGTACTCAAGCTACACTATCTGAGACATGTAAGGCTGAAAGTTCCCATGTTGCTTTTGCTCTTTTCACTTTTTCGTACAATGCGAAAATATCTGCGTTGTGGGTTGTAGATAGCCTTGTGATTATATACTGTTGCTTGCTCAAATTGATATTTAGCAAATATGATGTCTCTTCATCGGATAATGCAAGGGGTAGTTTCTTGTTTTGGTATTTACATAATATTTTTTTTCGATGGTCTGGTTGAAATTTAAGTGACTTGATCTAGAAAAACAGCTAGATCTTTCTTCCCCAAAGCTCAAGCGAATATGCTTGCTGCTTTTAACATTAAATTTGTTGATGGTTGTTTTTGAAGAACAATTTTGTAGCCACTCTAAGTTTGTATCTCTCAGATTTCTCATCGTAGGAACGAAGATATCGCCCTGTTCGAGATTTGTTTTCATGTGATTCAGTCGATGTGCTCTGTAGGCACACGAAATCCCAAGAAAGCCATTCAGAATTTTTTTTTAAAAACGTCATTAGAGTTCAGTGACCTTCCTGTCATCTTCTATTAAGTTTGTGGCAATAATCGTTTGTTTATATCATCAACCCCTTTAAAAGGTCTTTAGAGACATTATTACGGTAGCATGCACTGACAATATAATCGAGAACTGCCCATTCTTGCGTCTCTTTTATCTCCGCTGGGATCACCGAACTCTTGATACGACATACACTTGAAAAGACACAAATTTCGTGTAAAGCGGCAGGTTAAATTATGTAAAACATTATCTCCTTTAGAGTTATCTCCTTTAGATGAACGATAATTTAGAAATATATTTAGCGCAACAAACGACAGCATGTTAGTTATAAGCCAATGTAAACACGAACATAACCTGAAATATGCTAACAGTTACAGGATATGTTTGAGGCACGAATAGTCCGCGATGTCCATAACTACATCTACTTTTCTTATTAGAAGTAATAAAGCTTACCTTCATTGTCATTATTCATACTGCGACTACCATCCCAACACCAAAATACTGCAACAAGAAACAAAATACTCTGTACTTTCACGCGTATCGCACTCGCACCTTACATTTTGCTTACAGAAGTGCCAACTTCAAGCACAATGTACAACATAAGACCAGAAAAACCAACTTGAGTAATAATATCGATTTATGATGCTTTGATTATACTAGAATATTTGTATTCTTGTTAATTTTCGAAAAGTGACAACTTATTTATTGACTTTAGGCTAAGAATTAGTCCATTTTATCCCAATGTGCTTTGAGGTAAATACTTGGAGGAGGAATCTTGCAACTCGACATGCAAGTAGGAGTTTAATCTTACATTTCAGCGGGGGAGGAAAACCGCCATACCCGAATAAAACATGCACTTTACTTACGAGGTTTAATGACGTCAGTTCTTGCCGCGCCCTGAAGAATTAAGCAATCTACTTAAGATGGGACTGCGAACTTGAAATCGTTTATTCGAAAATATTAGCAGTTTCTCGAAATATTTAATCAAATCGTGTTAATTAAAAAAATGTCAATAAAAAGTTTTCAAAAACGACACTTTATTATTTCTTTATACTTTTTATACGAATAAAAAGCAGTGCTCTGAAGCAAAAGAAAAAAGTGATGATTTTATTAAAAATCTTTGAATATTTAAAAACAAAACAAATAATTGCACGAATTTTCTTATCAGAAATAAAGAGATCTGGCGAGAGGGAAAAAAAATATTTTAATAACTTATGGCTCTAACAAGGTGAGCCATAGCAGGACCCTCCATTATTCGTAAATATTAAATTTTCAATTTTCATTGAAGTGTCACATCTCGTTACACCTACAATCCCTTCTTGAATATAAACAAATAAAAGACATAAATATATAAAAGACAAGATTTCTCAAAGCTCTTAATTTCCTTTTTCATCAAAGACATAAAAGTTAAAAATGAAAATTCAATGTAAAGATGTACGCCCGACTTGGAATATAAAA